TGATATTTCTATACTCTGGTAGCTCAGTACATAAATAAAATCAATTTCGCATTTTTTTATAGACTTATTAGGTAAATATTCCATTGTAAAATGTAAATAAAAAAGTTCATTAGAACAAGTTTCCGTTCAATTAAAATATTTTACATTTGCAATCTTAAAAAATTTAAAACTGTTATAAAATCAGCGCGTAATGACGTACAGGTTCCAAAAATAAAACTAAAATAATTATATTACTTTAAAATCAAGCACTTTTCGACTTTGCCATATAGTAAACTTTATCAAATATGAAGCTCTGTATAGATAACTACATCTATACAAAAATTGAATTACACCTCAATTTGAAAAAAAAAAAAAAAAAACTGTTATTCAATTTTACCTGATCAGAAAAACTTCTGCTGCCAATGCTATACCAGCAGTAGTTAAGCACATGGCAACAATCCAGGCATTAGGCAACCTTTTTACCCCCGGAATTCCATAATAAGGTTTAGGTTTTTGGCTTGTTTTATTTTTTGAATTCCATATTGTGGAATCTGACCAAGTCCTGCAGGCCCAACACATTGTTCTAGTTCAAATGGTAGGAAAAGGAAAATGATAGGATCAAGGATTACCATGAAGGATGGATAGGTGTACAATTAGGAAAGGTTAAAATAAACCTAAAAAACTGGACAGCTTTTTATAAACTTTGTGGCTATGGCGGCATTTTAACCATATCCATGTTGTAATAATATGTTAATGATTATGATATGCATAAAAATCATATATTTTTAGCACCAATCATTTTTTCTTTATTTGAATCATAATATAAATTTTGTACATCTCAGACAGGCGGAAGTGTCTGGTATGAGATATCATAAAATTAATTATTATTCTGTCCAAAGGTTTAGGCTTGAAGTAAAGAATTGTCACTTAAAAAATTGTGAAGAGAAAGAAATAAGAAGATCAACATTCACTATTTTCAATATTTTATGTGCTTTTCTAAAAAAAAGCTATATTTTTTATACTATTCTTTTTAAAATTGTTCATAAAGCAATATTTACATCATCAAAAAACACAAGATAGCAGATTGGACACTTTAGACATATCATTGTTGTTTAGACATATATTGTTATATGTTAAATATGAATGATACAACACTCAGATTTTTAACACACACTTTATTTGATAATTAAAGACGTTTCGAGACTATGGTATGCATCATCTTCAGTGTAATTTCAAAACAGTTACTTAAATACTAACACATTCTGAAGATGAGGCATACCATGGTCTCGAAACGTCTGTAATTACCAAATTTATGTGTTAGAAATCTGAGTGTTGTATTGTTCATATTTAACACTTAATATTCGAATAACATTCCAGTCATATCACAAAATTCTATATTTTATACTGTTAAATTAAACTAATTTAAATATAGTCAGCAATGTTGATCATCTTTCTAAGACCCTCAAATATATTATACACTAAATATTGATTGGTGAATCAAAACTATACAGGAACTAACTGTTAATTATAAAGTAGAAATAATTACAATGTTTTTAAAAATAATTATATTCTAAAATCAGTTTTGATTCGCACCATCCAATATTGAATCGAAACAATAATTCATTAACTAATAACATTGATTATGAATAAAAATATCTTACTCAGGGTCCATATCTCTTCTAGGCCATGTTGTTTCTCGAAGCTTAATTGCCAGTTCAGCATCATATTTTCTTCGGGTAACAGGACGACTTAATATCTTATAAGCTTCAGATATTTGCAGAAAATCTATGTGGCTTCTTTTACCACTATTGACATCAGGATGAAACTGAAGATAGAAATAACTAAACTTAGATGGAAAAATGAAACAAAAGGTATTAGATTTTGGATTAATTTATTCTCCCAACTGTTATATTTCACATTCACAGAAAAATTATAATCTGGTATGGAAATTGTTAGGAGGTTTGAAGGATCTCCAAAATCAACTTACCTTTTTAGATAGTTCAATAAATGAAGCTTTTATTTCTCTAGTAGAACAATTTTTTCTTAATTTTAAAACGTCGTAATGACTTCTGTGCCTGCACCTGCAACTAAAACGTTAGTAATATTTTAAATAATATTTAATAGTGCTGTAGTTGATACAAAAACAAATAGTACGAAATTCGTACCTTAATCTTAGAATGTTGTGGACGCAAACAGATAGCATGTAGTTCACAGAACGTAAAGGCATATCGTTAACATTATTAAAAATTAATTTTACCTTTATTTAAAAGGATTTATTGAGTTAATTTGGAAAAAGTAATTAAACAATTGCCTAATGATGAGGGGTTATGAATTTTGATTTTGACTTGACAATGACCAAACGTCACATTGGCCAATATGTCAAATCCAAATGTCAAATGGCTGTCAATACTTGAAAAAGCACTATCTGTTTTATTTAGGTTGAATACTCATAATTATATCAAAAAGCATATAATTGTAATAAATTATTTCATATATTTTAATAATAAAAATGTCATTATATGAAGGTAAAAGTGTAATTCAAGAAAGACCTGCCCTAATTTTTGATATTGGATATGCATACACAAAGTACACTAATAGAATTATATGAATTCTCATTTAAAATCAGATAATAACTGTAATTTTCCATTTAGGTTTGGATTCGCAGCTGAATTTTGTCCAAGATGTATAATACCTTCAAAGATTACTTGTGAAAAAACAAAGAAAGTGAAATTTATTCATGAATATAGTGACAGCAAAGAATTATATGACAATTTAGTTGAGTTCATACAACAAATTTGCATTAGGTATATGTCCCTTTGTATTACAGTAATTTAATTGCAAAAGGTTGCTAAAAATTGTGGTTTGCTTAGGATTAATAATATGTATATTATCCTAAATATTTAACCGGTTTGCAGTTCTATACAATATTGTGAATTGCAACAATATTTGCTGCATGCACACTAAAAAAAAATGAAACTAAATCTTTTGATCTATTATTACAAATTTATTCTAAGTTGTCTTCAGAACTTTTTGAGTGCATCAAAAATGGTTGCTTCAATCATCCCTGATTCCCTTTTTCATTGTAAATTCACCTACTCATTTTTTAATGCTGAATAAATAATATTTGCAGATATGGCCTAGTTAGTCCAAAGGACAGAAAAGCAGTTATTGTTGAATCGTTACTATGTCCAACAGTGTTTCGAGAAACTTTAGCTAAAGTCTTATTTGCACATTTTGAGGTATACCATTTATTATTATATATATAATAAGCCAAGTTACATATATAATAAGCCAAGTATTATTTCAATTACTAATATTTATTATAGGTGAATGGAATATTATTTCTTCCTTCCCACACAATATCATTATCAACTTTAGCTGTTGAAACAGCTTTGGTTGTTGATTTGGGATACAAAGAAGCAGGTAGCTATAAAATTATTTAACAAATTATTAACAAATATATGTAACCTACACTATTCTGAGAATTATGATCTGAAAAATATTAAGATCATTAAAGTAAAATAATTTTTTTCAGTTTGTATTCCGGTCTATTGCGGTGTTGCCGTATTACATGCTTGGCAAGCTCAACCGTTATGTGCATTTAGTGTCTATGATAAAATACGTAATGAGTTAACTTCACAATTGTCTTCAGATATAGAACTTACTGATGATATATTAGAAAACATTGCTGGTTTGTCATTAATCAATTATTACATTTTAATTAATTATTGTAGATGATTTTATTCATAACAAATTATACATTTCAACAGTACGAACATGTTTTGTGACTACCTTGGATCGAGCAAATCAATACAGAGAAGGAAATTCTCCTACACCTCCACCATCAGTATCATATCCTCTTGATGGAAGTATATTAGAAATTCCTGTGGTAAGTGAGAGAAAAACAGTATGAAGAACTATTTCCAGTAGACAATGATCACATGGGACTCGGCAATATGATACTTGATGCTATAATAAAGGTATTGATTTTTGTAACCTTTTTTTATGCAATTCTTGTCAATACAGTATATATTTTTGAATCTCTTATTTTACAGTGTCCAATTGACATGTCGTGTTCAGTTAGCAAATAATATACTATTAATGGGTGGAGTTTCAATGACTACTGGTATTAAATCACGTCTAAATCAGAGCTTTTGCATTTGGCGTAAAACTGAAAAATATAATAACATACCTGCATTAAGAGTGTTAAATTTTATACATCTCCTTCGAAACCTAATTACTGCTTGCTTGGCTTGGAGGTTTGTATTGTTTTCTTAATATTTGATCTAAATATTTTCTAAATGTTTTTATTTCAGGTGCTATATATGGTGGCACAGACCTCGTAACACAAGGGCATTGACAAAGGAAATGTATGCCAAAAATTCTCATGTCCCTGATTGGTCTAACTTTATGGACAATCTACCAGAGCATAATAATGACACACGATGTATGGTAGCAAATGATTGTTATGCATATCATAAATATTATTATATTTGCTTTATTAAAATAAAGAATTTTTTTATATCAATTATTTTTCTGATTTACAAAAGACCAAGAAGAAGCTTTACCATGATCTTTTATTTCTATACCCAAAGCCTCCTTAGATCATTCTAATTTTATCACAGAACTCAAACATTGATTTTCGATTCTTCTCCTTCAAGGCTATTTGTCGAATATCATCTCGCACTTGAACAAACACTATTAATATAGCTTGTGTAATCAATGTGTGTTGTGTTGTTTTCTCCTCATACATTTGCATTCCGAAAAGCTTTAAATGTTTTTCAAGAGAAGATTGTATCATTGCTATAATGCAACAGTTTTGAGCAATTATATAGTTTTGATTACTGGATTGTATTGCTATTGATAATTTTTATTATTAACAATATCAATTAGAACTTAAAATGGAGCTCATACATTTAGCAGTATCAAAATCGTCCTTAAAGACTCTCTCTATAGATTTATTCATAATATCTAATTGGCTTGGTAGAATAAATAAGCTTCATCTATATCAACTCTTGGCTTTATCCATTGTGATAAGCAGTACAATCTGTTAAAAATGTATGAATTTTTTTATATATTGCACTAGCATGATCCATGAATGATTCAGAGTATACCATCATATGACTTCGATAATGTGATAATAAAACAAGCAGTTCTAAAACATCTGGAGAATATTTCTTCAAAAATTCTGATATACTAATAGTATTTTTTAATGATTTAGACATTTTGCCAGAATCTTTCATTTGCAAATGGCCTGTATGAATCCAATAATGACCCATTGATCGCAGTCATGATATGCACAAACTTGGGCTTCTTCATTTTCATGGTGGGGGATCTTAGATCAATTCCTCCAGCATGTATGTCTACAACACGGCCAAATAATGGCTAGCCATAGTTGAACATTCTATGTGCCAGCCTGGTGTCCTTACCCCAAGGTGCTTCCCAATAAGGCTCATTTTCTTTAGCGCCCTTCCATAGTGCAAAATCTGAAGCAAATTCCTTTCCTT